CAGATAAATAAATAAAACCTGTAAAGATCAAAGTGCAGAAAAAGTAAAAGTTGAGAGACGAGCAAAGTTTTACCCATGAAAAAACAAAATTGCTTGTTAGTCCGAAATCGTGACGCGGACTCTCTTTTTGTAGATTGATGGGCGGAGCAGACACATGCTGTTAAGGGGTCCACACTCTGATTTTCAGCATATGTTCACACAAAATTCTAATTATCTTGGCATCTCCCACTGCTCTTTTAAGGTATCTTTGAGTCCTTGAAATGCTTATTTATTTTAATGTATTGATTTTTTAGTATCAATTTAAAACTCAATTTTTAAGTAAATTTGTTAAATTTGAAGAATATATAAATAATCTTAATCTTTCTCAAATAATTTTTACCGTCCAATATCAAAAAAATAATAATAATAAGAACCTTATACTTCAATTTTTTTTACAAAAACTTAGAGGTCAATAATTTAATTTAGAATATATTTATATAGGTTGGGTGTGAAATAATACTTATTTTCATGTATTTTGCACTTTTATCTTTCAAGTCTTTCTTTTTGATACAATAAGATTCTCTCGTTGATTTCACTTACATTTGCTAAGGACCTTCCAGGAAATGCACCCTGTTATTGCCTAGTGCCTACTTAAGTTGTTTCTTCTCCTCGGTTGGCTCATCAACTCCTCGTATCAGAAATTGAACCTGCCGCTACTTCTAACAATTTGCTTTGGAAGACCCAAGTTGGTTATCAGTGTCCAACTTTACCTATTTCCTCCACTAATCTTGCATTGTAAGTACACCATCTATCTATATCTTCAAGGTACTTTTTATTTTTTCTTTAATATATATCTCAGTACTTGTTATAGGTTAATTCATGACCATATTATTAGATTTAGTTTATATTTTTTTCATTAATTCTTTTCAGATTTTCATTATCATATTATTATTTTTTTCTTTTTTGGGCAATTTGTTAGATTTCTCATTTTCAGATTTGGTGCTTTTACATAGTAATTAGTTAGTAGACACTTAATTAACACCCTATCTGAGGTCTCTCTCCCTTTTGCTCTAGCCCCTTCAAATAAATTAATGTAAGTGTTTGTATCCTAAGAAATCATCATATTTAAATCATATTTTTCTTTTAAGAAAAGTTAAATGTTAAATTTAGTCCCTCAACTTTAGTGAGTTACACATTTTTGGTCCTTCAATAATTTTTTGTACTTTTTTTATCCCTTAACTACAAGAAATGCATTCCGTTAGTCTTTCTATCAATTTAGATCGTTAACTACGACACGTGGTATTTTTTATAATTTTTTTAATGACATGGTAAAATTAATTTAAAAAAATGTTGATCTGGAATGTTTTTTTAAGTCACGTTATTGCCAACTCATCAACTGATTTTGCCTTAATAAAAAAATAAAAAATTACAAATTTACCCATCCTCCCTTTTCAATCCATCTTCTTCCCCTCCCCTCTTTCAATCATCTTCTTCCTTTTCTTCTTTTTCTTTTTCTTTCTTCCTCTTCTTCCTCTATGTTTGCTAGGTTCGGTGGAACCCAGCAAATTGGGATCCACTGAATCCAGCAACTGAGTCCCTCGAACCCAACAGATCTAGGTTCGGTGGAACCCAATTTGCTGGGTTCGGTGAACCCAGATCAGCTGGGTTCCACCGAACCCAGCTCGGGTTCGATGACTGGGTTTGAGTTGGGTTCGAGGAACCCAACAACTGGGTTCCATCGAACCCAGCTCGGGTTCGATGAACCCAGTTTGCTGGGTTCGAGTTGGGTTCCGTCGAACTCAGCTTCACTTTTTTGTTTTTGTTTTTTTTGTTATATGTTGGTTTGCGGAGAGATTATCCAAGACATTATATGTTTGTTATATGTTCAAAATGGAAATGGAAAGAACATAAGCAGTTGGGCAAAGAAGCAATTCTTTGTGGGTTTTCATTTGTTTGGCTGGAAAAGGGTATAGTTTGGGTGTTTGGATGCTGAGAAAATGCTTTGAATTTG